ATTGAACTTGAAACAGGATACTTAGAATATTTTGTTGCTTTATATATATATATATATGCATGTTCATGCATGTGAAACAAAATATATGCCACTTATCACTGTCAATGTTAATTGCTATCAATTTAAAATAGGGGAGGAAAACAGAGCACATAGTATATAAATAGTATTAATTAAAATGTTATGCAATGCTATCAATTTAAAATAGGGGAGGAAAACATTGCAAATAGTATATAAAAACGTATTAAAATGTCACTGTCAATGTTAATTGCTATCAAGTTAAAATAGGGGAGGAAAACAGAGCAAATAGTATATAAATAGTATGAAAATGTTATGCAATGCTATCAATTTAAAATAGGGGAGAAAAAGCAGAGCAAATAGTATATTAAAAAGTATAAAGATGTCACTGTCAATGTTAATTGCTATCAATTTAAAATAGGGGAGGAAAACAGAGCAAATAGTATATAACAAAGTATTAAACTGTTATGCAATGTTAATTGCTGTCAATTTAAAATAGGGGAGGAAAACAGAGCAAATAGTATATAAATAGTATTAAAATGTTATGCAATGCTATCAATTTAAAATAGGGGAGAAAAACAGAGCAAATGGTATATAAAAAAGTATTAAAATGTTATGCAATGTTAATTGCTGTCAATTTAAAATAGGGGAGTAAAACAGAGCAAATAGTATATAAACAGTATGAAAATGTTACGCAATGCTACCCATTTAAAATAGGGGAGGAAAACAGAGCAAATAGTATTTAAAAAGTATTAAAATGTCACTGTCAATGTTAATTGCTGTCAATTTAAAATAGGGGAGGAAAACAGAGCAAATGGTATATAACAAAGTATGAAACTGTTATGCAATGTTAATTGCTGTCAATTTAAAATAGGGGAGTCAAACTGAGCAAATAGTATATAAATCGTATTAAAATGTTATGCAATGCTATCAATTTAAATTAGGGGAGGAAAACAGAGCAAATGGTATATAAAAATGTATTAAAATGTAACTGTCTATCAGTGTAAAATAGGGGAGAAAAACGGGGAGGAGATAGTATATAAAAAAGTAGTAAAAATGTCACTTTTTATATCAATTGTTATCAATGTAAAATAGGGGAGGAAAACAGAGCAAATGGTATATAACAATGTATTAAAATGTAACTGTCTATCAGTTTAAAATAGGGGAGAAAAACGGGGAGGAGATAGTATGTAAAAAAGTAGTAAAAATGTCACGTTCTATATCAATTGCTATCAATTTAAAATAGAGGAGGAAAACAAAGCAAACGGTATGTAAAAAAGGTATTAAAATGTTATGAAATCATCTCAAAACGTTTCTATCTGTCATTTTTTCGATTTAGGGGTCCGACGGGGAGAATAAATTCAAAAAAAATCATCTTAATTTTTGGGATTGAAAAGTGAGTTCAACATATGTATATATATATATATACGCGAAATGCCTTTTGAGTTCCCCGTCGGACGAGCTGCGATGAAAATGTCAAGATTATATATATATATACATGGTTTTGTGATGTTTTTGATCCCCGTTTTTTAACATTTTGTTCTATCTGTTGTTTTTTAGGCATAAAAAGGTGACGAAAACGTATAATATATACGTAAAGTTGAGTTTTTTTCACCTATCATTTCTATCTGCTAGATCGCACTCGGCGTTCTATGTGTCATTTTTTCAACTTGTAGTGATTTTTGATTTTTCCATCTGCAAGTTCGTGACTATAATTAATAGATTAATTATTAATCTATAATTTTAATATAAGTTTAATTGAGATTGCAGTGGATGGTAAAAATAGATTAATAAAGTAATAGATAGTAATAGATAGTAATAGATAGTAATAGATAATAATAGATAGTAATAGATAGTAATAGATAGTAATAGATAGTAATAGATAGTAATAGATAGTAATAGATAGTAATAGATAGTAATAGATAGTAATAGATAGTAATAGATAGTAATAGATAGTAATAATTAATTAATAGACAGAAACAGATAGAAATAGATAGATCAGATAGATAGTCAGATAGATAGATCAGATAGATCAGATAGATCAGATAGATCAGATAGATCAGATAGATCAGATAGATCAGATAGATCAGATAGATCAGATAGATCAGATAGATCAGATAGATCAGATAGATCAGATAGATCAGATAGATCAGATAGATCAGAGATCAGATAGATCAGATAGATCAGATAGATCAGATAGATCAGATAGATCAGATAGATCAGATAGATCAGATAGATCAGATAGATCAGATAGATCAGATAGATCAGATAGATCAGATAGATCAGATAGATCAGATAGATCAGATAGATCAGATAGATCAGATAGATCAGATAGATCAGATAGATCAGATAGATCAGATAGATCAGATAGATCAGATAGATCAGATAGATCAGATAGATAGATAGATAGATAGATAGATAGATAGATAGATAGATGAGACCAGATAAGAATAGATAGGAATAGATAAGACCAGATAAAAATAGATAAGAATAGAACAATAGATAAGATGAGATCAAATTGGACAGGTAGATAGATAGATTAGATTAGATACATTTGATCATTGATTATTAGATTAGATAGTAACATACTTACTTCCCCATTAACAAGAAACTATTTCCTGGTGCCAAATTTCTGCTGATTTCTGACTGGGGTAACTAATTTTAATATCAGAAGACTTGTTGCCCATTGGATGAGGCGTTGTGAATTTAACTGCTGTTTGGGAACAGTTGCATGCAAACAAGCAGTTAAACACAATGGTTGGAGTGTCTTATCTACTTATCTAATCTATCATTTAATACATATATATATATCTCTCTCTCTACCTATCCACCTACCTACCCGGCTACCTATCTATGTATAGTGGTGCATGTAATTAGTTTAGAAAGGCCAGTGTTTAGATTGTGTACAGGCTCTGTATAGTACAGTTTTATATTTCCTCTCTTGCCTTATGCTCCGCTACCACTATGAAAGTTGCCCCCCCCCACCCCACCCACCCAAGGCACCACAGTGCGTCAGTGGAAGTAACTCACAACGGGCCTCTGATACCAAGTTCGCCTCACACCCACCTGCTCACCTTCTTCTAGTCAGTTCTGACAGTCTGACATTTGACCGACTGACTGGCTGAATGTCCGGTCAGACTCAGACTGAGTTAAGATAGTATTAATCAATTATTATTTAATTAATTATTAATTTAGATAGATAGATAGAAAGATAGATAGATAGATAGATAGATAGATAGACTCTTAGATAGATAGATAGACAGATAGATAGATAGATAGATAGATAGATAAATAGATAGATGGATAGATAGACAGATAGATAGATAGATAGACAGAGAGAGAGAGATAGATAGATAGACAGACAGATAGATAGATAGCTAGATAGATTCATAGAATTCATAGAATTCATAGATAGATAAATAGTTAGATAAATCTTAGATAGATTAGGTTAGATACATTAGACAATAGGTTAGATTAGATAGATAAGTAGATTAGATACTAAGACACAAGCAATGGGGCGTTGTGAATATTTAACTTGGGAACATGAAGTTAAACACAATTCTTGGAGGCTCGATTCCTGCCAGGTCCGGCTGTCTTATCTACCTACCTATTCTATTGAATCTATCTACTCTATATATATATATCTATGTAAGAATCTACCTACCTATCTGGTTACCTATCATGTCTAATCAATCAGATCAATCTGATCCATCAAATCAATCTAATCCATCTAATCAATCTAATCAATCCAATCAATCAATCAAATCAATCAATTAATCAACCAATCACTCAATCAGTCAATCAACAATCAATCAATCAATCAACCAATCACTCAATCAATCAATCAACCAATCACTCAATCAATCAATCAACAATCAATCAATCAATCCATCCATCCATCCATCAATCAATCCATCAATCAATCAATCAATCAATCAATCTCTTTATCAAATCAATCCATCAATCAATGAATCTTTCACTCTTTCAATCCTATTATCTGTCTTTCTGTCTTCATTCATGACATCAATCAATCAATCAATCAATCAATGAATCAACCAATCTTTCAATCCTATTATCTATCTTTCTGTCTTATTAATCTATGTCTATCTATCTATCTATCTGTCTATCTATCTATCACCATCCATCCATGCATCCATCCATCCATCTAATTAATCTATCTACCTACCTATCCATCTATTTCATGTATCATCTCATGTCTATCATCTGATTGTATATAATAATATATATATAATTATCAATAGGTAAATAAATAGTATTAAACTTACTTATAATTAAAAAAATAGAATCAGATATAGAACAATTTTGTTATCTAAATTAATTAACTATAAATTATTGATTATGTACATACTTTGAATTTAAGTAAAATATGTTGTAAACAGTGATTTCCCAGACTTCCAAACCACCAACCCAAACCACCACGTAAGCGTAAGCTGATATTATATTATATTAAATAATATATTGAGTTGTGGGTTTTAGGTCAGCGTCCCGAGCGAGTTTCCGCGATCAATATTGCCCAAACCGCAGAACGGCCCGGCCATTCTTGAACCACATCGATGTTCTGTGATGCTCTTAACTCCCCCAGGAAAGGGGAAAAAGTTAGGTCAATGAACTGGGTCTCTATAGTTGAAGGAGTCTGTTGGCCTTGACAGATCATTTTTGTTGGCGAGGACAGGACAGGGTGATGAAAATATGAAAGTATTTGCCGGCGAGTCTGTTTAATACTGTTTAATAGCTCCATGTACACAGCCCTGAAACAAGATAAAAAAAATGCAATCTGAAGCAGGTCACTCATTCTCAATTGGAGCAACCCCATTGGAACTGGGACAATCGAATAAGCACAGTTCGTTCTCGCGTTGAGTCGGCGGGATAGTCATTGACCAATTTTGGGTTGCTTAATCTCTCCATATCCCCAAATCTTTCGGGGATTCTGCGCAAACCACCAGAAGCTTCAAAGAAAAAAACACTCAAAACATTCTGTTCAATGTATGCCCACATATTTTGTTTGTTTTCTTCCGGTTCAATGTATGCTTTTGGGTTGCCAGAAGAATCTCCTTTTTGTTGGGAGGTGACATCCCCAGGGCTCGATCGCCTTCTGGCCCTGAGATGTTCAGCTCCAAGGGTGCCGCGATGTCGCGGATCAGCTCACCATTCACCTGATCCATGGGGATCCGGCTCATTCCAGAGCTGCCTATGGGCGAAATTTCGCATGATCGAGCTGCGAAAAAATGTCTGAAGCTATATGAAAAGAACATGGAAAGTTTGGAGGTTCACAACTCCTTTTCCTAACAAAAATCTGTGTTGGTTGCAGTGTTTATAGAATCACGACGTGGCCGTACAAGACTCACAGAGTCCACCGGTCAGTCCACTGTTTCAAGCAGGAATTTCAGGGCCACCTGCATGAGTATGGCCCAAAATGCTTAACCCAAGATTGGAGTATACTCGACATAACCAGCTATGTCAGCTATGTGTAGGTCCACATATTTTGACCCATCCCTTGGTTCACCAGTTTACCCTCCGGATCCATCCCCATTTCCTCACCATCTTTGGTGCTACCGAAAAATGACGTCCACGCTCCTCACCCTTTCTAGTAGCATAAGCTTCACGATCCGAATACCAGGGGGATGAAGATCCATTACATCCATAGAAATTCCATAGATCCAAGCTATTTAATGTCGTGTTTTGACATTCTTTGACCTAGCCATCGTTAAAAAAAAACATGTTTGATGCTTAACCCACCATGTTTTTGAGGGCTAAAAAGCATCATAATCCACCCATGTTTCATGGTTAAAACCCCAGCTGACGTCGATCACTGCAGCAAGGCACATCCTCCAGCACCAGGCACATGCTGCTCAGTGGAATGGAGGCCGCCGTCATGATTCCGGAGATCAACAAAACGAACCTTCGCAGAAGGGGCGAGGGATAAAGCCGTTACCTAAAGTGTTGGATGATTCACCATATTTCTTGGCATTTAGGATCTAAGCATCAAATGTCATTTAAGTTACCAGTATGTAGATGTACTGTAATGTGGGCGGGATTGGTTTTCGATGGGTAACATGATGATTGACCATGGAATTTATGGAATCTTGGGGCGCCGTTTCTTTTTTTGGACGAACTGATATGGGGAATGTCAACCTCGGACCTTGCTAAACCATTTTAATAGCAAATGACAATGATATCTCACTGTTTATGTCCCGTCAACCAGGGTTGCTTGGTCCGAGGTGGACATAGTGGCACTCGTCTTTTTCAACTAAAGTCAAACAAAAATGGACACGTTTTTGTTCTTGGATGATTTTGATGGAAGTTGATGATGTACGTTTTCCTCAAAATACTTCTATATCCTATGTTTTGGAAAATGTCTGTTGCTGAAAGGGAGACATGGCACCATATTCAAACTATACAGTTTATATACCAAGAGTCTGGCTTGGGGAAGATCACCAACACACATCCCCCAGGGGGAACTGCGGTTCAACGGTTCCCTCCATATCGATGTAATCTCTCAGTTCAAGATTGGGCTATCCCCAGATCTTCTCAGTACCTGGTGGATGAACCTGTGGGAGGAAAACAATACGGACCCAAAAACGGGACCATTCATAGTTAAATATGTTTTTTTGAAGTGTTCTCAGAGTCCGTTTTGAAAGTGTTTTTCTAACTCATCTATTTCAGGATCGCTGTGTACATATATATATATATATATATTATCATATATCTATATTTATATATGATTGATGGCGTCCCCAGAACCGGCGATACGGCCGGGACACAACATGTAGTAGCAGCCGCAGCACCAAGAGCACATGGCGCAGCGGCAGGTGATTCTCCTCGAGCTTGGACCCGAAACCGGACCCCAACTTGGGACCCATTGGAAGCCGAAACCGGAAACAAGCACGGTTGGTCATGAGGATGTTACATGAAGGTGTGTATACCAAAGGATTGGTTTAGGGGAAATTTTACAGGAAAACCCCATATTTAATGGTAAAAACCATGGTTTCCTGTAAATTTTCCCTTAAACCAATCCATTGAGTATACATATATGTAGTGTCTAAATATGATTACAAATTATGTATACGGATGTATACGGTACATACGGTCTGTATTTGACAAAGAAAAACATGAACAACGGTCAACTATAGTCAGAGTTGTTCCTCAGCTATATAGGTGTACAGCCTAAAAGCACAACCACCACTGCACCAGCGTAAGAACTGATTCATGACTTCCAAATTGCATGGCGTAATTCACCAAACAATCTGTGGGTAAGGGCATTGGCGGCATGGAACATGTTAACCCGCGCACGCGCTTGAGGAAAAGTACGGATGCTGTACTACAGCACGACAATGTGCCAGCTCCCTATGGAAGACAGAAAGTCCTCCATGCCTACACAGAAAACCCCTATCCTTCTGGTTCCTTCCGAACAAGTGTGGAAGATTCACAGCTGGCTTGGCTCCCCAAAGCCCAAGTCCTGTGTTGGCTCGTTCCATCCGCGGCAGTGTGGGTGTCGACGCAAATCCAGCAGATTCCAGTGAGAAGACCTTGGTGCCGGTGCCAACCACCCAGTCCCCGCTTCAGAGTCGCAGTCCTCAACGACTCCAAGGACCCTGAGGTCCTAGAGACATGCATCAACAAACCATCCTATTTACCCTCTGGTAAACTAACATAGTGGATTTTCCCATTCAAAATGGTGATTTTCCATAGCTATGTTAAATTACCAGAGGGTAAGCGATTGACTCTGCAAGCTTCCGCTTTTGGGGAGAAATTCACATTCAAAAAGCCAACGGCTTCAACGGCTTCACCGTCACGGTGCTGCACAGCGCCAGGAGGAGAGCCACACCAATCAACGCCACGCTGGAGAGGGTTCCGATGCTATCCAGCTGTACGGTGATTGCTTCCAAGGTATCCTGGCAGGATGAATATATATATATATATAGGATGTTTATATATATATATATAGCTGCTGCGTTCACCCCGGACCTTGCCCAACTGAAGCCCCTACTGAACTAATTGAAGTGAACTGTACCGACTTAAGCCACTTACGAGAAGAAGCCACAGCTGAATGAAACACGGCTCCTTCGCATATTGCTGATTTCACCCAAAATTTGGGAGACCGGAAACAAAGTGGGATTTACCTAGCAAGCAATTGGAATTACAATGTGCATATGGAGAGGTGTCGGTAGCTATGATTTCCCATATGAATGGGGGGAACTTTGCTTCCTGGCCATGGTATGTGATGGTCAGGTCACGTCTGATATTTTAGAAGAACCCAAAAGTAGTGTTCCCCCAGGTCAAGATTTTCGGCCTCTACTCACTTAAAACTTGGGGAAGCACAGCAATATGTAGTAACCGCACTTTCTGAGGCCAATATAAGTCATGTCCAACTTGGCACATTCAATGGACCTCATGTGGTGAACCCAATTCTTATCACCATTCCCCTTGTTTACCAGGGATCGCTTAAAAAACGAGGCGAATCACACATAGCAATGGAGGCTCCTGCTCCACGAAGGGTCCAAAGGCTGAATGGACCACCGTCTTCAACTCCTTGGTTCGGTCCGGCAATCCCGTGATTTACCAACGGTTTCGGTCCCAAACTCGGGGATTTTAATGTCAAAGTTTGATGTCTATATATATATATCCAAAAAACATACAGTATTCTATAATATTCTATAAAACTATCAAATACCTGTAACTATCCATAATATTCAACAATGGGAAATCAACTGAGAAACATGATGTTCAATGAATTGCTTTAAGGAAAACTTTACAAGAAACCATTTGCCCTCAACCTATAGGGGGTTCCTGTGTGTGTTTTCCCTTCAGCCAATTCTGGAAACACTAGATCCCTGTGATTGATGGTTCCAATCCCCATTTGTGGTGGTTCATCTCCGTATACTTCCAACATCTTGGACCGTTCTCAAGCACAGAAAATCCATCTCGTGCCATCTTTCCCAGAAAAGAGATCTCACAATGCGCTGCATCTTTAATCATTGCATCGGGTTAATGGGAAATCTACTTCCAAAAACCGCATTTCTTCCCTGAAATCTGTCCCCTTCAACTAAATCCAATGAACCAATGTAGGATGTTGAAGGTGAAAAATGCCCTTCTAATCCCCTTTATAATCCCCATGCCTTCATCGCCACGTGCATTTCTGCCTAGTTGCAACCAACGGAGCAGTTCCGGAAAGCATACCTGAGGGGAAGCCATACAATGGATACCCAGCAAATTTATAGTTGAAAGGAAAAAAGGAAAATCAACATCATGTTATATAGTTCGAAGTTCGTAGCATATTCGTTGGTTCCGAATTCTTAATGCTTTGACAAATGTCCAACTTTGGTAGTTTAACCATCATTATTTCATTGGTGAAATCCATAAATTCTGTACTGTTCGATGGCCAATCCTTTGGTCCATGGCCTCTTTGGCCACGTTCTATCTTGCTGCTTCGACCACGTTGAAATCCTGGTAAAAATGTTCCACTAAAAGTGTGTTGCTCAGTCAGTCCCTTGTTTTTGAAAAAAAACTCCAGCTTTTTCAGAGTTAAACCACGACATTGTTATGACAGTGAAATCACCCATTCTTGATACTGAAATCACCCATGCCAAACGTTTAAGAGTTGTGATTCACCACCGGTTTTTCATCACGAAATCACGTAACCATTTCCCATAGTTTAAACATGTGGCAGTGTGTCAAAACCTTGTACCCCTGTAGTTCACATCAAAATAGCTGGGATTCATGGATGTTCATCCCCCTAAAAATGGTATTAATAGGTATTGATCCATACCCACATGTTTTTTCCCCCCCATCTCCTCAAGGGCCCCAGTGGCTATCGCTCAGCTTGGCCAAGTTCTCGCCCTGCAGCTGCTCACTGACCACCTCACGTGTCTGCGCCAGCGCCGTTCCCACGCCGTTGTCCAGGGCATCGATGGCGCTGGTCAGGGATGGCGCCAGGATGCTACAGAGCTCGCACTTGTGGAGCAGATCTTCACCTGGAAAAAATGGGGCCCCCGTTCGATAGCATGAACCGTTGGTGAACATTTTTGTGGCTGAAAAAACCATGGTTTATGGTAGATATAACGAACTAGTTCATGGTGATTATAATGGTTTATAAACCAACTTATAACTATGGGGCCCCATCCTGTGGGGGGAGGAATGCTGAGAATCGCCAGATTTCGCCAGATTTCGCCAGGGGCCAAGCCGCCAATGCCTCCATGCTGTTTTTTTTTTAAGCTGGCAATATATCCCAGTAAATATCATGTAAATATTATGTAAAATGATGTAAATATCCCCATACTTCGCTGCCATGATAGCCATCCATCGTTGGGGGGCAAATCACGAGGAGGATCCCATCCCTGCCTCCGGTCGTCGCGGGATTCACGTTGCCAGGGGCTTCCATCATCGCCTTCAAGTTACTCCTCAGCTGCCATGTGAGAATGGGGATATCAAACCAGTAAAATGGGGATCGACTGGGATATACACTATCATAATTTGGGGAGATAATGGGGATTTCACTGTGAGCAATTGGTTCAAAATGAGCTCACAGTTGGGGTTAAGGTGGATATTCTACACTTAGATTGGGTTATAACCAACTTTTAACTGGGGGCTCCCCTTCCTGTACCCTTCGCTCATCGATGGGCATTCCCAGTTGGATGATGTTCCCACTTACAAACCTCCAGTGAAGGTAATTTCCCATTGCCATGTTTGACTGTCCTATGATATTCCCATTGATTCCCATTAAATCCCATTAAATCCCTATTTGTTAATGGTTAAACCCAAGCTATCTGTGGTTCCCCGGCAGCCTTTGAGACGCCCGGTCATCTTAACTCTTGCTACCCAAGCGCATGGTCGCTGATGCCACCACCACAGCCTGATTGTCCCATAGATTAAACCGGCAAAATGAGAAGATCACCAGCGCAGATAGGGAGAAGAGCTTAGGAAGCATGTAGTGGATGATGAATGATGGGGTGAACGGAACCGCGGTTTTGTTTGGAGAAAAGATATCGATCGCAAGTCTTGATGAAATGAGTTTGTCTGAAAATGGGCTACCCCAAATTCCAGTGATTTATCATCATGTTCCCATTTTTGAACACCCGGCCTAAACATGCCTAAACCTTCTACTGATCACAGGCACCGACTCACGAACAAATGCCGCAACGAAACCTTTACAAATGGAAGTTAATCTTACATGTTTCTAGGTCCACAACAAGTTGAATCAATGATTTTACCCTGTGACATGGGGATTGTTCATGGGGATTTTTCACGGCTATATAGCCAATGATGACATCAAACCATGTTCACGTTGGAGGATCAAAACCAACAGGCCTCAGCTCGCCAGATCATGGGAACCTCAACCCATTTCTTGTTTTCCCCGGAATCGCAAGCAAGGTGCATCCGAGATGGGTTTGGTGTTGGTTAAGATCTGTTCCAATTCGATCAGGAAGTCGGAACCCGGATCCAAGGAGTCCTTCAGCTCCTGCCCGGCTGGTTTTGTCAAGTTATTAGACCATCTCTTGGATTTGGCCGTTGCATCGTCTTCCTCTGCTTGCATGTTCATACCAATTATTAATTCATTACTGTATTTGTCATGGTACCGGTTGCTCATTTACAAACTGGGTGTGAATAGGATAATGCCAGGAATCATCATTTGTCACCCAGGCATCTTCACAGTTTACCAGAGGTTGTTCACTGATTATCATAATTTTAGATTTGTTAAACAGTGTTTCGAATGGGTCACCAACACCAACACTGTATGGATGTTTCCTGGTGTATGGATGTAACCACTTTGAACACTGCATGAAACCTCCAATGCTTGTTGATTTTCTGTTGTTAGGATGTCACCCAAAAATAGATACAAAAGCAACAACTTGCCACTATTTGGGTAGGATTTTGACGGACTTCAGCATCCTTTGGGGAGGTTGCAACCTCCATTTTTTGTCCAGAACAACTTCGCGTCGCGTCCCTTGTGATCCTGGAAGACTTCCAAGGTGCGGATGACGCCAAGGAAGCTTTGTTCCTGGGGCCAAGAACTGAGATCGAACCACAGATAGCTTGGGTTTAACCATGAACAAATAGGGATTTAATGGGATTCAATGGGATTTAATGGGAATATCATAGGTCAGTCAAACATGGCAGTGGGAAATCACCTTCACTCAATGGAGCTTTATATTATATATATATACAGCTGGGAAAATCATCGAACTCTTGCTGGTGGATTTTCCAGCAAAGCATGTGACTGATTACCCAAAGGGTAAATCAAAAACAACGACGGGAACTTAAGCAACCAAAACTGTGACGTCCATTTCCATGACCAAGCTGGGCATGTCAAACATGATTTGATGCACAAACAACTTGGGAATGAATCTCCAGCAAACGTGTCCAAAAACCGTCTTGCCTGGCTCATTTCTGCCAAAATTACTGTTGCATATTACACCAGTCCCTATAGAAAAAAGGATGAAAGGGGTAACTACATTGGCTATAGCTCCAAATGTTGGTCGCTTTCAGAAAATTCAATGTATGTTAAGCATGTTCAAGCCTTCATTTATTCAGGCCCTTTTTAAAAAAAAATGCCTTAAAGAAGGCCAACATCAATGGGTTGCTTCAGCTTGTGCCAAGCTGCAGGGTTTCCTCCCATGGTGTCGTTGACCAACTGCGCGGCTGTACCTGGGGCATCGGGGGGGCCTGGTATCCAACAAGCATTGGCCGTTTTTGTGGATTTCATCTGCAAGAAATGGGGATGAAACTCAGTCACTAGAGATGAAATGGATTAAAATGCGGATACAGCGGGAACGAATTGATGGGCTTAGTCTACTTATTGGCTAGAACTGCGAAAAATCACTGGACGTGATTTTCCTGAGAGCTGAGATGAGAACCCCTTGGGCAGTTGCCCATGCTCCTCATGGCAGTTGAAGTGCTCTTCCAACTTCCCAAGTCCCACAGGGTACCCGCAGAAGCAAGAACCCAACATGACCCAGTCATGGGATGGTGAGATCAGAGTTAGAACCTTGGCTTCAGAGCCACTCCTGATGCAGAGCCTCTATTGGCCACGCTCCCTGTGGTAGTGGGGGTCGGGATTTCAGGCCTTGAGGAATCCCTGATGTCCAAAGTCCAAAGGTCAAAAGCCCAGAGGCCCAGACGAGGAGTTCCCCTCTGGACTTGTACTAAGTGTAAAATTCAAGATCCAGGGGACCTTAGATTTTGCTGACAATACTGTAAGTACATGTAAGTACCCCATTCCATCCCACGGTTTAAAGCACGTCGCTTTCCCGCCATTTCAAGCCCCAGCCAACATCCACTGCGCAGAAAGCGCTCATAATTTGGCTGCAGCTGAGCTTGAAATGGTTGATGTTAACATTGAAACCCCAAATGTTTGATGGTTAACTCCCAAGTGTTCACCATGTTCGCTGCTTCAATCCCCATGAGATCCCCCAAATTCTGCAAATATCTCGCATTCCAACCCCGTCTTTGTTTGTTACATCATGTTACATCCCCATTTTCCCAGTGGTATCCCAGTGGTACCCCCGACCTCCCAACCTTTTGAGCCGCGCCGAGCCGCACTGCGTGAGTTTGAAGCCGGAGGAGGCTGCGTTGAAGCCCCGGATGGACAGCGAGGCAGCGATGACCAGGCCGAGGATGATGGCTGAGGTCGGCTGCTGGAAGGATGGGAAGGGGGGTTGGAGCCTCGAAAAAAAATGGGAAAATGGAGGACTTCAGAAAGAGAAGTGGAAGGGTTCACAAAAAAAACTGAGGCATTGCAATGGAATTAGTGGATATTATAATGGTATGAATCAAAATGTCTGGAGAGCAATAGTGATTCACTAAAGCTGAAAAGATCAGAGATTTTTGGGAGACTTAAGCCCCACTAACCATCATTCCAGTGACTTTGCAGTGAGGTTACAATTTATCCAGATATGTCGCCATCAATGTTGGGTGTCGCAGTGTCGCATGCTTTCAGACACACCCATATAGGCTTGGGATCCAACAATGGAATCAATGGAAACACCTTTGTCCGAGAAATGAGATACCCTCTGGTAAACATACAAAAAGAAATTGTAAAATGCCATAGAAATAGTGGATTATAGTGGATTTACCCATTAAAAATGGTGATTTTCCATAGTTATGTTAGTTTTATGTTAGTTTACCAGAGGGTATACTCCAAAACGGCCAGATGAGTGAGAAAATGATGAAAAAAACGTGAAATGTTGGGATACTGCAGATACCCTATTTTCAGACAAACCAATACGGGTTTGGGGGAATCCAGCATAAAGAAAATTGGGTGGAAACCGTTTGAAAACAACATGTCTGGCAGAAACCGAGCAACCAAAATCTTCGACTCTCATGGACATTCAGCAGGAACAAATCACGGAGAATTTGGGTGCAAACACATGTGAAATCGTGATCTGAACCATTGAAAAATATTGAAAATTGGTTTTGACCAGAAAGACAGCCAAATCACGAAGGTCAACCAACTGGTTTATCCTCATTCTAGCGAGTGAACATCCCACATGTTGTGTCGTGATCGCAATCATTCTTACAATCAAATGCCAAGACTAAGAACCAATGCAAGATCATGGGACAAGTTGAAGGTACACAAATTCGATCAAGTTGGTGGGTTTAGTACACATCACATATTCTTTTTCCTGTCCCTTATCCTTCAATGATTTTCATCCTTCGCACCTGCCAACAACAGCATGAAGATGAACCTTGGGACACAGCGAGGCTCAAGAGCCAGTGAACAGTTCAACAGTGGCTGAGGACTTTTTTCTCTTTCTCTTTGTCACACAAAAAAAGAAATCTTTTCCGCGTTTTTTCCCTACCCCAGAAATCGCCAGTTGAACAGAGAAAAGGATGATCAACCAGTGGATTTCAGGCTGATTCCATCCGTTTTATTGGAAATCATTCATGCAGAAGGTTTTTAACGATAGCAACTACCCTCTGGTAAACTAACAAAAAACTATGGAAAATCGCCATTTTCGATAGGTAAATCAACTATCAATGGCCATGTTCAATAGCTAAATGTGAGTTTACCAGAGGGTAAAACTCGAAGCATTCGCTCCGTGTCTCTCGCCGTTTTGTGGGCCCGTGGTTTCACCCGGTTTCAGTGCCCAGACACTTTACCACCTTGGGACAATTGCGCTTCCTGGGCCATGGGGCCATGGGGCATATGGGCCATAACAATAACCACGCCGCATACAGTACATGTATATAAACATATATATAAACATATGTATGTATAATCATACATATGTCAATGTTTAGGTTCACGTCTATGTATACGTGTGTATATATATATAAGTAATGTATATATATTTACATATTACATCCGTAAATATTACGTATGTATATATATATAATATATATATATGATATATATGACTTCATTTGGTTATTTACATATACATGTGTTATACGTATACACACCCAAGTCGGGTATATATAGGTTTATCTGAACATAGGCTATCCAAAATCACCGTGAAAATTGCGAGGCGTAGCTACTTAGCTGTAGCCAAATAGTAGATACGCCTCATCACGCTAATCATGATCATCATTGACAATGGCAACAACAAGAACAAGAACAAAAAACAAGAACAAGCAGAAGAACGAGAACAAAGAACAAGGACAAGAAGAATGATGATAATAAGATTACTGAAATAAAGATATAAAAACCATCGTCGTCGTCATCAACAACGTCAACGTCTCGTCATCTTACCCAGGCAGCACAAAGAGCCAGCCAAGCTTCCTTCGGCCTCAGTCGTGGCCGATTCCCAAAAGGATGAGACCCAGAGAGAAAAAAGGAACCCGCCAAAATTCCAAGCAGAATAGAAAAGTTGGACACCTGGAAAATATATGAAAAATATGGAAAAAATATCAAACTGTACCATTCGGGAAACACAATTTGCAATCTATTTGGGTGCTACACCACGAAACGAGCATGGAAGCCAGTGAATTTTCTCAAGAATCTTAGGAGATGGTTTCCTATGTTTCCTACACTTTCGATCCCCGCTGTTCAATGGCTGTGGTACTCGATTTTTTGGGGGGGCATGGGGATCCCCCCTACCTTTTCAGCAGCGGATTGAGATGGCCGAGGAACAGCATTGGCACCAGCAGCAGGGCAGGCAGGCCCAGCAGAAGTACAGCACGTACAAAATCAAGAAGAAAATGAAGGCAACGAGTGGCCCCGCCTGGAAAATCCGCTGGAAAAGCACAACTGAGTGGAAAAATTCATGTGATCTATATCATTCTATATCCTATATTAATGTGAAAAAAGATATCCCATGAAAGTGTCCCATGAACTATCTCAACAATGAAGAAAGATGCAACAAATTGCTCATTAATGGGGATATCAACAGGATAGAATGGGGATATTAACGGGATACCGTCAAAATCATCAACTTCATCAAAATCTGGAAGCCTCTAGAAACCCAAAAAAGGCGAAGAATTAGAGAGATCATCGCTTCAGTAGTCCTCCCGAGAACACTTCATCATGATTTAATGGTAACCCATCTCATTATACTAGTTGGTCGGTAGCTTCCCCACAATGGGTTGTCATAATCCCCAATAAACAAGCCAGTATATGTTGCTATTACAGACAACCAATCAACCAGGGTATTTTTCATGGCTCAACTGTTTCCCTGCGCAACTTTGGGGATCCTGTGCTGCATGCAATCACAAGATCTACGACTGCTTGGTACTAAAGCTACTTTTCCTGAAGATATGTTGATCAAATCTCTGCAACCACCAAGCCCACAACGCTTGCCACATGGCGTGGATCATGTGTTACATCCCTTAAGTATACATGCCTGAAATGATCATACCCGGCTTCGGCAATTACGGCTCAGCAACCAAAACATCTTTTGGCTTCAGCAACTAATTACACTTGCAAGTAAAAAAAATGTCACCGCTCCAAGTCATTGCTCAAAGCGTAGCTTTATAGTCTATGTGGCTGTGGTTTAGGCTTACTTTAGGGCTTAATTTGGCTAATTTGGGTGTGGTTTCGGGTTGGTCCCAGAAACCTCCGGGTTGGTCAGGCCTGAAACGCCAGAAAGCCAGGATTCGCGAGCTTGTCCTCAGATCCATGGGTGGCTGAGCATGGTAACTGGGAGGGTGGCAATACCACAAGGATTTTTTGTGACGAAGAAGGGATGACAAAAAATCCAAGTCCTGGCTTGTGAACATTTAAAATTCCTTGTCGAAAAAATGTTGCATCCACATCAAGAAAAGTGCAACACTTTGGGGCACTCTAACAAGGCGATGGAAAGCTACCATGTTCAAAAAAAACAATAAGGCCAACTATACTATGGATATGTCGAATTACCAAAGGCTAATTGTTTTCTAGTTTTCATGGTTGAATCCCTTATCTTCATGGTTAGGTCACCAAAATCACATTTAAGTCCGATTAAATCACCGTGAAATCTCATTCAATTCAACTACCCTCTGGTTATTTAACATAGCCATGGAAAATGGTCCATTTATAGATGGTTTACCTATTAAAAATGGTGATTTTCCATGGCTATGTTAATCATAACCAGATGGTCAATCGCATTGAAATCCCATCAAATCTCCCAAGAAATTCCCCATGAATTCCACCGAAATCACCATGAAATCACCAAGGTACTTGGACGGCGGCCTGCATCTGCTCCGGATCGTCGGATTCCTTCAGAACGGTCCTGGGCAGGTTTCTCAATGTGGCCAGGAGTCCAAAGAACCCAAGAAAAAATTGTTGGTGAATGGATGTTGATTCCCCTGGTTGGTCATTTCACAGGGCAGATGTTCACAGGTTTTGACCCATCCCCATGGCTTGTTTTGGTGTTTTTAATGGTCTACTCGGGTGGAGTGGGACTTAAGCAGAAATGAGGATCGAAAGAGCCAAAACGGGGATTGATGGAAATCAACAGAAATGGGGACAATATCATGGGTTTGTCCAGAAAGGTATACCCAAAACTGCAATTGAAAAGCCTCGGAAAAATGATCATTGAACTATGGTAGGATGGCCAGGATGGCTGAACCACAGGATGCGGTGAAGCGTGGCCAGTCTTGGGTTACTCGGGTAACCTCGTAATGCATCCACCGTTTATATCTCTTGATATCTCGTGAACATGATATTCTTAATTGGAACGGGGGGTCTCCCATTTCTGATTGCCAGAGGGTCCGTGACTGCACCCAATTGACTAAAGCTGCTGAAGATCACAGGGCTGGTGATGCCTATTAATCTTACTATCAAACTATCTATGTTCAGGATCAGCAATTTGGAGCCAGTTCCATATCCGCAGGGCCGCAGAAAACCTTCCCAGTCCAAGACGACTCAGACGAGAAGCAGAATGATGTTGTCCTTAGCATCATGCCACCCTTACCGTAGTGCCCTAACCTCCCAGACTGTTCTGAAATGTGCTCGGGGTTCTCTCCAAGTGCATGGAAATGCTTCCATTGAATCCTGGCCCAAGGGGCCAACAGTCAGAATCGCCCCAAAGGACGAGACAAAATTCATCTGGGCATGGGTCGAAATCCCCATCTGACAGGTGGTTTCACCCAAACCCACAACAACTCAATTCATCTTCACCTTCCACCAGGCTATGCATCAAAACCCAACAGTATCAAAATCAGTAGCGAAACTTAGTTGAAATACTTCTGGATATTCATCATCCCTCCATTCATTTCAACGGAAATCAAAGCTGGCATGACCCAACGTCCGAAAAAGAACTGAGCTGCCGCCGAAGCCATCTCCAAGTCTTCCCTTCTTTTGGTATAGTCCTCATCTGTCAACTCTTCCTTGGATGTGTTTGACAAATGGAGGTGACCATGGGGGTAAAAACCCCCAAATCATCCAGTCGTCATGGATGACCATGACTTAATATTGAAACCAATGGTGACTTGGGGATCCACCATTTGAAAAAAAAAAACTACATGGGGATCCATCATGTTTGCCTCTGAAGCTGATCAATAACTAACCATTAAAATTATGGCGGGCCTACATGGCTGTCTTGAACTTTTCGGATCATGATCTGAATTGTTCGGGTGCAAACATATTTCTTGTTTTTTTGTTGCGATGTATCCGTTGATTTCAGAGAAATGTTTTTTGATACTCCATCCAGTCAGTGAAAAATGATTATCCCATGTTTTCCGAATAGATGTTTGTACCTGTAAAGGTTGATTGGCGATGTGTCGATCTTTCATGGATTTCAGTGAAAAGTATGTAACAAGTGTAAACATTAAACATATATATGTTTGTACTCATAGATCTTCCCAGAGGGGCTCCGTTCAATAAAACTTGTTCTTGGAGTTCATGTTGTTGCTGGTTCATATCCCCGTATTCTGATGCATAGATGAGTCAACATTGGTAGACAAATACTTACATGGTCCGCCAAATGTACTGTATATGTAGGATATATATATATACATATGAGTAAACTTCATATTGTACAGATATATGTATACATAATATATGTATACATGCATGCATGCATGCATGCATGCATGTATGTATGTATGTATGTATGTGTGTGTGTATGGCTGCATGTCTGTATGTCTGTATGTCTGTATGTCTGTCTGCCTGCCTGTATGTCTGTATGTCGGTATGTCTATATGTCTGTATGTCTGTATGTCTGTACGTCTGTACGTCTGTGCGTCTGTACGTCTGTATGTCTGTACGTCTGTATGTCTGCCTGCCTGCATGCACGTATCTATGTATCCATGTATCTATGTATCTATGTATGTATCTATGTATGTATGTATGTATGTATGTATGTATGTATCATACCATTTGTATATCTACAATATCTATATATATATATATATATGTATATCGATTTTACATGCACATATATTCCAATTTGTTTGCTGTCATCAAACAGACCTTTCCCCATGGGACCATCGACACACCGGAGTCAAGATGCAAAGGTGACAGTTCCCCCACAAGCGGTCTCGACCTGCTTTGAAACGACCCATTTTCTACTGCTGACCCCTGGGTTTTTTTGTACATATCAGGATGCATGAATTGGGGTTGTCCAAACCAATGGGTATACCCCAAAACACAAAGAGAAATAATGGAGTTGCTGAAAATGATGAGAAATCCTTGGAATTGGGTTTCCCCATCTTCCAACATGGGTTGTTGACCTCGACGCTCAAAACTGTTGCGGTCAGGTCGCATCTGAAGTATCTCA